GTCTATCTTGGTTGTTTGTGTGTATACACTTTCAGAGCAAAGCACTTTGTACTGGGCAACCAAAAGAAGGGCTCCTTCCTTGCAGAGGCTAGCTCATCAGCACTTTCTCGGCACTCATCAAAGGTTGTGACCCTGTGAGAGTTGAGGCTTCCCCATTCCTTATTAGCATGTCTACTGATATTGTCCTATTTGTGTGTATGGGTATGTGTGTGTGTGTGTGTGTGTGTGTGTGTGTGTGTAACACTAATAGTCAGGTTATTAATTTGAGAGTGAGTGGTGGGGCGTGGAAGGAGTTGGGTGAAAGGGACTAGGAAACGGCTAAGGAAAAAGAAAGGAGGAAGTGTAGTAAATATTTTAATTGCTTCAATATTTTAGTTATTACTTATAAAGTATTAATAATATCCTTATTATTAACATTTTAAATATTTTAATTAAAATTATGCACTTGAAGAGTTAAAAATGAACATGGCTCTGGGTCTGAACACTTTGCAACAACTTCATCACTGCCCTGAGTTGAAGGCCAAGTCCATTCTCACAGTTGCCCAGTGTATGTGAGTGGATGGGCAGAGGTCAATTGGAAGGGAATAGTTTATTATTATCTTTACATGGGTGAGAAGATGACAGTCCATAGTCTGCCTGCAGTCTTGTTCTAGGTGGATCCCGGGAAGACACTTGTTTCCGAGAATGATGGAGGTGCAGTAGAAAGTGCAGAGCGGCCAGCTCTGATGTGCACTACATGGCATACACTGGGAAGACACCCCTCATCAGTCCACCTTAGAGAATTAATCAGCAAGCAAGAACTCATCATTCAAGGTCACATCCACTCCCTAGAACACAAAGGTCCATCCCTCTTGCTCCAGCTCAGACCAACACTGAAGAGCCATTCCTAATCCTGAGGTTGCTGTGGCCTTTGTTTTGTCTGTAACACCAAGAGTACCTTCCTTATCTGCTCATGCCTGTTTCCCTTCCTTCAATCCATGGTCATTCTCACAAGCACTCCTTAGGATATAGTGTGTACACTGATCTCCACCTCAGAGTCTTAGTCCCAAGAACACAGGATGTAATACTGGCAAATTAGCATATTACAGGCAGCCTAGGTCTGGTATACCCTTTGCCTTTGTAAATAAAGTTTTATTGGCAACAGTCATATCAGTCTATGTATCGCAGTGCTTTTCCATCAGAACAGCAGAGGTAAGTAAATGTCATACAAATAATATGGCCTGTGACGGTAAACACACTTTCCTTAAGAGGAGAAGAGAGACCAGAGTAACAGTGAGAAGGAGAGATTAACAGTGAGGAGAGAATTGGAGAAAAGGAGAAGAGAATAAAATGGAAGAGAGTGGAGAGGAGGAAAGAAGAGGAGAGGAAAGGAAACAAGAGAAAAATAGAAAAGAGAAAAAAAAAGAAGAGGAAGGGAGAGGGCAATGAAGGGGAAAGAAGAGGGACATGGAGGGTAAGAGAAAAGAAAGAACAAAAGATTGCTTTGTATCTATCTGGATGTCTCAAGAAGAAAGAGCTTTGGAGACATATCATGGATACAAAATAAACTAAAGCAATAGTTAATGTATCAGAATCAATAATGGATCAATTGCTCACTCACTGAAGTCAAAACCATTCAGATCAATATTAAAATTCCCACAGAGACCCAGATTTCAGATAGGGAAGGATCTCTGTGCTGATGAGCTTTAACCAAATCAGTCACACTAATTATTATATCTAACCAGAAACCCATTTGAGGCCCACTGGCTACCACCCCAGGATATGCTCCTGAACAGTCTTCAAATACCACCTTCTATGGTGACAGTGGCCATCACTGGACACCACAACACCCAGAGGACAGGAACCATAAACACAGCTCTGGCACTTAATGATGCACAGACTTGGGTAAGTCATTTAATCTTTGAGCCTTATTTATCTTGACTACAAAACATGCATAACTGAGATTTTCCCAACAGAATTCTTCAGGTGATTTAAAATAATGAATATAAACTCGGGTCTGGCACTGGGAATTTTAACAACAAATACCATGAGTGGTATGAAGCTGATGATGAGGAAGGATAGTAACAATCATCAAAGTTTCCCTCACCGTAGGGGCAGAGATGTGTGGTGTTTACCTCTACAGGACGCTCACTCACAGTGAAGACAAAGTGTCAGAGACCAAGGAGGTAAGCAAAAAGAGAATGAATTCTTAATTTCAGTTCCAAAAGCAAAGCAGGAGGCCACGTGTCTGATGGGAAGTTTTCTCCCAGGGGACAGAACCTACCTGTTTTTATGAAGTGGTTGCCTGTATCCCACCTCCCCTCGTCTTAGGAGTCTTCCTGGGTGCATGTCTCCAAGGCTTGCTCAAGAATACTGTCTACAGAACTTTCCACCCAATGACCGAGTGACTACAGCTAAAACTGTCTTGACTCTGCCTATGGACTCTCCCATACAGCACCTACAAAGGCAGCTGGATGTGAGCAAAGTGAGCCCACGAGGATCCTGCTTAGGAGGGGTTCAGATGAAAGGAGTTGGCTTCAGACACTAAGAAAGATGAAGTCCATTGATAGTGTGTGTAGGCACAGGAAGTCATCAAGAATGCCTCAGATACAACGGCACTTACGGACAAGAAAATGCAGGGTTCCTTCAAGGCTTAATAAGCGTGGCCAATGTCTGAGAGTACTTGCATTAAGGCTAAAAGGCTCTGTGAGGGCGGCAGATGAGCTTGCAAGTGCACCCTGGGATGATTGTGTGCCTGTACCAGGGTAGACTGTGATCATTAGAGCTAGTGGATTGTGCTTGTAAACTTCAGGCAGGAATCCTGTGTCATGAAGAGAAATGTTTTCTCATTATCCAACAAGATATGTTTATATTATCATATTAGATATTGTATTATATATTTATATTACAATACATTATATATTAGTGAGGTAGGTATATAAATGTGCTCACATATGTATGCATTCAGGCACACCAGAAGCACATGTCCCAAAGAGTAAACTAGCCCCTATTCTAATGGAGCACAGCTTTCTAAAAGACACAAGTATCACTGCTGTCCTTTGGGCCTGAGGATTAGGAACTATTTCTCTGAATGTCTCCTCACTCTTTGATGTTTTCTGTGGTATAGGATATTAGGGTAGAAACTGCTGAGACTTTCATGGTACTTCTTCCCTTCAAAAATTCCATCTAGGGCTGATGGAGAATGGGAAATAAACTTAAGCTTGAAGATATTCAAGAACACTAATTCCTGAGTGAAGAATATGTGCCTGGAATTGTATGGTATCACTGTCCACATTCATTGAGCTAGAAAATAAGATAATGGTGCTCAGGGTCCCCTGAACCTTTGTGGCTTTTTTCAAATGGTAGTATGCAGTCCTGTGATTTAGAGTCCGGCTCTAAATGTCTCTACAAACATGGCTATTCTGAGGGCTATAGCCCCATAGGAGGCAGAACTAACTTCCACTAACCCGCCTTAAAACAAAACAAAACAAAACAAAACAAAACAAAAAAAAAAAAAAAAAAAACCTTTACAGGAACAGCCAGCTTCTGTACAAAGCCATAGCGAAGCCGCTCTGCTCTGAGATGGCTGTCTGTGATCTGGATCTGGTTATTTTTAAAGAGCCTTTGGTGAAAATTTCTAAAAATTCCCAGTGACTACCCTACACTGTGAGACAGAGCATCGAGTCTGCTCACCATAGAGCGCAGTTTCTCTATTTCTGGAATCATCATCAATAAGGAAGATGAAGCGTTCAGCTTGAGCAATTGCCTTAAATACTAAAGTGGCGTTTATCTTTGGAACACAGACCGGCTGCTTGCATCTTCCCGCATGCAATGAGTTTGTTGATTTGAGCATTTCAATAGTTTAATCAATCCAGAAGCTATATCGAATTTACTTCAAAGATCTCTGAACATCCAGTATATCTACACTTGTTAAAATTAATCACATCATTTAACACTTCCACATGCATTATAGTTTTTAAGTGCTTTACAGTCATTTTTATTAATTAATAAACCCTTAATGGACAAGAAATTCATACTATAAAATTACTATGCATATGCTGCATTTTCAGTTTTACTATTATTTCTTTTAAATATTTTTCCCAAGTGGAAAGTCCATGACTCATAAACCAGTCACTCTCACAGAAAGTGCAACTGAAAATAGACGTTTACCCAGAGACAGAAATCTGGGCTGCCTTCCTCCCTCCAAGACAGACTTGCTTCCTCTCCTGAAAGCCAAAGGGTCTCAGGGAAGCCCACCTGGGAAATTCTGTCTGGCCCTGAAATAGCAACAAGCCCCCGCCAGGATGCTCCAGACACAACCCAAGACACATGATCCCATTTGCTGCTGTTTGGGAAGGAACATTCTGACCTTCCCATTAGAAAGCATACTACAGTCACTGCACACACACACACACACACACACACACACACACACACACACACACAC